TTTTCTTTACGAAGGCCTAATTAAGTATTGTATATTGCCTACATTATATTTGATATACCTCAATTAGCTCGTACAGTCATAAGCAATAAGTCCTTTCATACACCTACCTTTATATAGTTTGTATGAGTAACCCGAGGCCCTCGAAAATGGGCAAAAAAAGAGGTGAAAAAAGAGACGCTAAAGTAAGCCTATTTAGGTTAATCAAGATTAGGAATGAAAACGTTTGTATAAAAAAGAAACCTCTATATATACATTACTGAAAACTAGTTTCCTCCTATAATCACAGCCAATGCGTAACAAAACAGAGTATACCCGATGTTTTAACCACCAAGAAGCATAAAGCCCATAGCACCGACCCACCCAAAGACAAAGATGAGAGTCAAGATACTAGCACCAGCCTTATCACCGGTACTAATAGGAGCAAAACTATGACTCGACGAGTCACCATCACCCTCACCCGCATTCGGGTTACTGGTACTATTACCACCAGTATCAGCCGTCACGGGGCCAGTATCGCCACCATTGTCGAAGTTGATCATGTTGGCCAAGAAGATGTTCGAGGCACTGATTTCCTCCTCCATTCCCTGCCAGCCATCCCATTCAGATTTATACCAGCGCACACCGCATGTGTTGTTGCCTTTTCCGGAACAGGACTTTGCGGCGGCTTGGGCGGAGCTTTGTAGTTTGGGCTTGATTGTGTCGTAGGTTGATGGGACGAGGAGTGCGGTGAAGGCTAGCCATGATGATACGAGACCCTTGAAGAGGATTTCGTTGTTGTTGCATTGCTCTGTTGGCTCGCAGGTTACATCCTGTAGGACATTGTTGTCGATGAAGAATGTCTTGGACATTTTGGTGAGTAGGCCGTTTACTCGTGTCAACCAGATGTCGTCGCCGTTGGTCTGTTAATAAATTGTTAGAGATTGTTGGGTGGGTTCGCGATATGTGCATCACTAGGTGCAATGATAAGATGCAACTTACGAAGTTGTACATGTAGGCAGCGCCCATCATATAAGTGCCGTAGTTATATGTCCACTGGTAATTACCACTGGTCTTGCAATCATTGGACATATCAGTCGAGTCGGCAACATACCACGTCTTGTTGTTGAGCAGGACTGAATCCTCGGTCCAGTCCCAGATCTTCTCCGCCCAATCGGTGTATTGTTGGTCATTGGTGTAGCGAGCAAGACGAGCAGATAATTGGAAGAGACCACCGTTAGATACCGTGTTTTTCATCCCGTATCCAGACTGGTAGGGGAAGATCTGCCACCGAAGTCCGCCACCACAGGCCGTGGTGTCCCATCGCTTAACCTGGCTATTGAAGGTACCCTGGGCCAGAGAAAGCCACGAGAACCCATCTTTGACGTCAGGGAACTTCAATTCCGCTGCCATCATTGCTGCAAGTCCCCAAAACGACTGGTCATCGTTTCCCTGTAGATTCAAAATTAGGATGGTTATAGATGGGGTGGCGCGGAGAGCGCGAAGGGGTAGTTCTCACCAGGTAGCTACTGTAGTTGCTGGGCATGTAGTCTCCTTGATCACCACTCTGGTGCTGCATTCCGATACTCAGCTCCTCGTTGTAGGTTGTGTCGCCGGTCCAATGCCAGTACTGGAGCAGCGCCATGAAAAGTGCAGATCCCTCCCACCATTTATCGGGGAAAGCACCAGGGATCTGTCCAGTCTCATTTCCGTAATAGTATTTCATGGCCGCGTAGACCGTCGTACTTGCGGCATCTTGGAGAGAGTCTATTTGAAGTTAGTCACATCTCGTCTTCGGAAACAAGACGAGGTCACTGCGCCATACTTTGATCATTGATGTCTAAGTCAATGGCCCGCGCTAAACATGAGAAAATCAAGAATGTGATAAGGCCATTAAGGATGGGCCATGTGCCAGATAATTGCATATCGTATCAGATCAATCATGAATAGGATCGGAATGGGTGCGGAAGGGGGGTTCGGGGAGGAAGAATGGAATCTCGCATAACAGAGAAAGTCGGGGATGCGACAATGATGTATGAGCAAATGAAATTAAAAATAGTTTCAAGGCCTCCACTTTTCTCAAGGCAATTGCAAGCTTTCGGCCTCTGATTAGCAAGTGTGTGCCGATCAGCCCAGTGTAGATCTATCATATCGCCACCATTAAGGCCGAGGATGAGCCGTATATAAGGGTTGGCTTGGTGTCCAGCTCCTGGTCTTGCGTTCAGTGGAAATTACATTGTCCACCAGCCAAGAGTCAACTGTGTGCAGACGAATAGTATGAGGGTTTTTTGTTTGCGGATCTTTGGGTAGGGTTGGAGAATACCCACCGTCAGCCAGATTCAACGTATGCCAAGCCGACAACGCGTGTAAGCGCGAGACAAGCAATATGAGGTTCCGGGGACTCATGTTTCACATTTGACACTCCCCAATTTTCCCCAGTCGCGTGTCCATAATTTGCGAACTGTATGCTGTAATCCTTCTCCTAACTGCTTCTATTATACATGTACTTCATACTCTCAATCACTTAAAATTCCGTGTGCAAACTGACCGATCCCGGATCCCAGTGGGGCCAATCCAGGGGTCTCTGACGTCAGAAGCGGGTGAGCCAGTTCTGTCGATCAGGCAGTGCTGACCCACAGGGGTTTGACCTCAGGGTCCATGTACATGTAGGATGTTCATTAGGTTGATGTGCCTGTTTAAGTTAATTCATCGGAGGTTGAAATTGATCGAGGACATGATATATTGTGCGGCTGAAAAAAGCGGCTTAACCAAAGCTAAAATGCTTGGTTGAAGCACGGACGGTGGCACGTGACTACGGGCAGAGGAGCCTCCTTACACGGCATCAACACCATATTGATTAGACCATACGGAGTGTAATGCCCCAGATCTCTTTGCCGTCTCTTACAATAGCGCAGATCCACCAGAGAATCTCATATCTAAACCAGAAATTCAACATGTAGACTATCTCAAGAGCCAGAGCAAGTAAAGCAATGAACCTTAATGAAATTCCTCAGCATCTCAATCATCTATGAGCCATAAACAACGAAAAGAAAAATACCCAAATATAAAAAATAGAAGAGAGTTGCGAAGAAAGAACATCCCCTTGCCCAGTCATTCTCTTCTCCACCAACAGATACCGATCATGTCCATAAGTATTATTCAAATGAACATTTCCAGAAATAGACCCATCCTCCAATCGAACCCAAGTCCTCAAATCATCCCCAAGCAGCTGCCGATCTAACAAGATCTGCCTGCCCCCACGAGCCCAATCTCCATACCCTCCATACCCCGTATGTCGACCGTAGCACATGTTAATGCCATTCCCTGTAACGTTGAGGCCGGAGAGTGTACCGTTCCATTTGAAACACCTACCACAGAGGAGAGATTAGTTAGTATTCAGGCATTCGTACATTGAGCGGGATAACATGCTCAATATAACGTTAACCGGGATGCTCATAACCTACCAGTCGTTGTCATGATCATGGCCACTAAATGTCGCTACAAGTCCCGTGGTGTTCAACAACGCTTGAATAAACGGACTATCCTGGGAATCGTAATTGATGTTATCGTTGCCGTAGCCTTGTTGCTGGACTCGTTCGCCGTTGATTCCTGGTTCCTTGCTTGGGCTGACACCAGCCAATTGGAATGCGCGCATTGGATAGACTGGGATATGGACGAAGGCTATAGATGGGATAGGGCCACCATATGTGGATGTTAGGTTGGCTTTAGCATTTTTGAACCAGTGCAGAACCTGGATTTGTTAGTCTGTATTTCCCAGATTGGAAAAGGATTGTATTGCCAGGTGAGGCATGCTGATTCATCCTGGATAGTATGTTAACTCACCGAATCATCGACCCAATTCTGTCTTGGGACTGATGTCCCGTTATAGTTTTTGTCAATAGGATAGTGACCACCCTGACTATCAAAAAACCACAAGATGAACTCTGGCGTTGCATCGTTCGAGGCACCGTGTGCAAATACAGGTAGATAATAGTTCGTAATCCCAGCAGTAGAGTTCGACACCCGCTTTTGCGTTAAAGAATTTGGATATATTTTTTCTCGGAGAAAAATATCCTCGGGATCAAGATTGATTTCACTGTCATGGTTCCCGTATGTCGATGCCCATGGTAAGTCGTTGTCAATTATTGGGGCAACAATCCTATCAACGTATATGCTGGAAGAGTTTGCATTTTGTATCGCTTCCCCAGATATTAGGTCTCCATTCAACACGACGAGCTGTGCATCTTCTGATGAGAGAACGGTTTCCATGACCTTTCTGGATTTGTTGTCGGATCCGTCATCTCCCGTGTTGTTAATACGGAATCGGCATAAGTGGTTGAGACTTTCTATGTACCTTCGGCAAAATGCAAGTCACTGAAGACTGAGATTTGAAATGTACCATCCTCTGTAAATTGCAGGGTCCGATTGACATCTCGTCGGTGTGGTATTAATGACTTCCGAGTTTGCATTGCGCTATGTAAGCAGTCGATGAAATTTGACAAGACAAGAAGAGGAGGTCCTGCTCCTATAATGAAGGGCTGCCAAGTACCTCGCCACAGCCAAGCAGTTCGAGATCTAGCACTATATATGCCTTGGAAAAGAACATTTAATGTAACCTTACAGAAGCGGCGGTGCCAAGGCGGCGATAAGAGCATAGGCTCGGCATCCCGCATGATCCATGGTTGGGATACCGAAGGTGCAGTTGATGCAAAGCTCTACGGATCATGTATTTCTACGGAAAGCCTTAAGTTCGGGTCACCCGGTTGCGGACTTGTGAATATTAAGAGCCATGCACAAAGCGTCTAAGCTATACTCTCCTACCAGCAATTCCAAGCTCCGTTACTGACGCCTTGGGTGCCAAGAGCCTTGGCCGTCGCTAGCTGTTCTACTGTATGTGTAGAGCCATGCAATCTGCTTATTGTACGTCATGGCCAAGATGGGTTTTTGCGAGCGAAGTGGGTCTCATTTACCTTTTAGATTCGACATTGGCGTCCAATTAAATTGCCAAGAAAGCCCCACCTGTAAGCATGAGCATATCCTCGGGCCCTGGACACCCTTAAGTCCGACCTTGGTTCTCCTATTCACAACTACTATAATCAATATCGCATATTTATCTCTAGTACCCCGAGACATCACCTACAGAAACCGTGAGATATAAACACCTGTCGCCGACCAAAATTGGCTTTTTGAGTCTCAACGAGCCTCTTTTCGATTGACTTTACACAGATGACGGGTCTGGCTCGTATCAAGTAAAGTCAATGTACAAAACAACAATGTTGAATGGCTGCTCAAAATATGATGGCTTACACTTGCTTGGCTCAAATATGAGCAAATGCATTGGCAGCATCATCATTTCTGGCCATTTTACGTCGCTACCAACAGACAGCAAAAGACAGTCCACCAATCTCCAGTATCGATTCCATGAGGGGGTTTCAAGTTTTAGGATCAGGTTGACCATGCAATCAACACACTAATAGGGGTCAAGGAAGACGTTTCAAGGCTATGAAAGATTGCAAAGGATCGGCCAGATACGTGTTCATGGTCAACGATACCGATGAAGAGTCATCGAAGTTGCGAACAGCGTATCCATCCTTTACTGCAAGGCGGCACTGTAATTTCCTCGTACGCCAACTACCTTTCTGCTCAAAGCATTGCTGACATTTTGCGCACAATGCATGGCTCCGTGAGGCAGCTGATTTATCACCTTATTTTTAGGCGCCGTGGTATGTGATTACTCCATCTCCAGGAGAATGCAGGTTGGGTCCGAAGTCATGGGCAGCTGTAAGTACTGATACTGTTTATTTGGGAAATTTTATGAAAAAGGTCGGAACTTGGCGCTTTAAGAAGCGCCATGCGGTTCAAGTTTTGCTATAGCTCGTCTGATTTTGCTGAAGGTCTGAAAGATGGTAGGATTAAGGATTGAAGATGGAGGAAGTATGGAACAAAAATAGATAGGTCATTTCTCCCTCGCGGACTGTTCCCCTCAGCGGCCAGAGCCTCACAAAATAAGCTTTGCCTGTACTGGAGTATAAACCCGCACCCCCACAAGGTTGCCAAGTGAAATGTAAGTTCATTCTTTGCACTGAACTAATGGCCTCAAGCTTTATAGCGTATTAGATCCATTATATTAGTTAGATAGATCTATCTCAACGGCCATGGGAAAACCAAAAAGTGGCCAGTACAGCCGAGTGCAGCTGCTTACACCCCGATGCACCAAATGGATAATACATGCAGCCTCGCCAATCAATGAACCCGGGCGACCTTGGGATGCTCTTTTATTTGTCCATAATAAATCTCAGGGCAAAAGATCTACAGTGGCTGCAGAGGCGGAGTTTACAGCTGAGTTCCCCATTCTCCGCCCCCTTGATCCCAAGCTTGGCCTTTCACAGACGGGGGCATTTATGTTACAATATTGCCTAAACGTGTTCAATATTAAATAATTTCAACAGACATTTCCAATATGTTCAAGGTCCCAACCCTCCTCATACTCCTCATTACCTGCGCCCACACGCTGTGTGCCGATCTCCGGGAGATCTACAGATTTCCCAATGGAACATGGATCGAAAACATCGCAGTCCGACCAAATGGCAACCTCCTCGTCACGCTTATCAACACACCAGAGCTCTGGCAAATTAACCCTTCTACTCCATCTGGCCATGCTTCCGCACGCCTAGTGCACCACTTCGAGGAGGCAAAACAAATGAACGGAATTGCCGAGTTAGAACCGGATACATACGCCGTTATTGCTTCCCATTCTGTCTGGACGATTCACCTCGGTGCACAGGGCAATGCGTCCAATCCAGAGCATATTGCGGAATTCCCCGACGGGCTTCTGAATGGGATGGCTGCATTGGATGGAGGGAGATCTGTTGCCATTTCGGATTCCGTGCGCGGTCTCATTTACCGTCTTGATATCCTTACTGGTGAGTATACGGTTATACACCAAGATGAGACAATGGCTCCGGCGGATTATCTGGGTTTGAAGCTTGGGGTCAATGGTCTGAGGGTTGTGCGCGATTATCTGTACTACAGCAACACGCCCAAGCGGCTTTTCTGTCGTGTTCGTATTGACCTGCGTGCTGGCCAGGCAAATGGTCCGTATGAGGTTATCACTGGTGGAGTACTTTCTGATGATTTTGCTGTTGGGCCTGGTGATATTGGGTACTTGGCTGGGGCTGCGGATAATGTCGTTACGAGAGTTCTGCCTGATGGATCTCATGGTGTTATTGCTGGCTCGAAAGATTCGACGGTGTTGATGACTGCTACGTCTGCGGCTTTTGGGAGGGCGAGGGATGATCATGGGGTTCTTTATGTTACTACTGGCGGGGATTCGAAGCTTCCTGTTAATAACACTGCTACTAAAGGGGGAAAGGTGATGGCTCTTGCTGTTCACTTTTAGATATCATTCTTGATGTTGCGCATGCACTGGAGGGACTTGATAAAAGGAAGGCTGGACATATCCAGAGGGCCTATGTGACTCTGCTTGTGACGGTTGTCCCATGCATCTTATGACTTTGAATGTAGTTGGAAGAGGACAGTCTGTGTGTTAAAGCGTCTGCTGGTTCCGAAATCGTGTACATACTATGTATAATAATACAGAGTCATCAAATCAAATCATATGTATCATATGTACGGATTGCCATTCCATTCCTAGTAACATAACAAAGACACACAATGCCATTATGAATAACTGCGCTAGCATGTTCGCGTCGGTCGGTCTTCAATTCGCTCGATTGTCCGTTTCTTTTTTTTTTTTCTTTTGTCATTGAAGTGGACCTCGCTTCTAAAAACACAAACCCCTTATACACCACATGCGCATCCGTGGATGCAAATGCGAAAGACGCGATTATGACTCGACCTCTCCACGGCGAAGTGCCAGTAGAGCCCGGACGTCTGTAACGTACTGTAAGGCTTCGAACATGGGAACCAAATGGAGTAAGCCATTGTCCGTGGGGTCGTTGATCCAGCCTTCGATAGGAACTGCATTATCTGGAAGTGGGTGTTAGTTGGTACACAGAGAGTGGGAGATGTGAGCAATACCTTCATGGAAGATATAGCTCATCGGGCTATTGTCCAGAATCATGACCTTGCTCAGGTCCGGTTCTACAGAACTGAGATCTTTGATATACGCGCCGTTGCGGAATGTGCAATGCTGGCGGTAATAACGGCCTTGGAAGTATTTGCGTTCTTGCTCAAGCCAGTCGATCACAGGATCGGCATACTCTTGGACACTTGCTGTGAAGATAACCAACTTATACCACTTGCTGACCTTGCGCAGGAATTCATCGCAGTGTGGTCGTTTGTGGACATAGTACAAGATTGGATGTTGGGGCCCCAACGTCGTTTGCGGCCCACCGGGTGACAATGCGGTAGTCGTGGGCATGGAGAGCTTGACCTCCACCATGTGACCACTGGACATGCGGCCACCCTTGGCGAGCGAGTGGATCAGGGTCTCATCGAGGTCCAATACTAGAGTCTTCTGTGGGAGCCTGGCATTGCGCGGAGCTGCGGTATACGACGGTAACCGTTGTGGGAGAAGTGGGCGCGGTGGAGTTGGAGAATGCGGGTACTTGGTGATACGGTGGATGGATCCAGACGTTGGGGACTTCAAGCTGTCCAAGTGGACGGCGCCCTGGATTCGAGAGACACCTTCGGGCATTGGCGGTCCCAGGTCTGCACTCTGTGACCGTCTTTGTCTCTGTTGTTTGTGAGATTCTTCATTATGGAGTTTGATTCGTATAGAACGTCGAGGTGTATTCTCTTCCGGGATTGGATCTGGGTCGTGGCCTTTCGTCTTCGTCGGCCGGTTCTTCCCGCTGTGATTCCTGGAAAGCCATCGATCTGTATCGGACTCTGAGGTTGTTGATATAATAGACTCGTGGGATGCTTGGGATCGAAGCTTGCGGGTGGAGCCACTCTGCCGTCGATTCTCCCCTTTATCCGGCCGGAGCGTTGGGTCGGCAGAGGAGCGCCGCAACTTCCAGACCGGTGCGAACAGCGAGTAGCGACCATCATCGGCTTGGAAGCATTGAGCTACATAGACACCGGGGGCAGCAAGTGTAGATAGAATGAATCTGATGGTTTCCGTAATCGCATCGAAGATCCGGTGGGTGATTAGTCGCCAGGTGCTTCGGGTCGTGATCATGCTATCCTTGTGAGGCTCATGCAGCAATGGTGTCTTCTCATCTAAGCCATATGTCGTATCCTCCTCTGCGTCTTCATCCACCGGCGGTGGTACATCGTGGTAGCTCTTCTCGGGGTCGAGGGCTCGAAAGTTATTCTCGCTGTAGGACCGGAGTTTCGACAAGTCAGTCGGGAGACTTGTGCGTTTGCTATCGCCTTGAGATCGTGATCGTGGACGTGGAGAGATGGAAGATTGACCAATGACTCGCGAGGACAGGATATTCAGCGAGTTCATCTTCCCTCAAGGCCCACGGGAGACAGGGGCACAGCGATCTATTGAACGGATCGTGAGCGAATCGTCAAAACCACTTGAAGCGGCCCATGAGGTTTGTTGAGAATATGAAGAGAAAGGGAGGGTTCGCAAGGAGGTGTAAGCTGATCGTGTCGTTGAGGTTCTATCTAGGTACCGACCTCAATGCGCCAGTCACCCGTGCCTCGGAACAGTTTCCGCGACTCCAGTCCGGTTTCTACCGCAAGTTCGAAGCGGCAAAGGTAGGGCAGCCCCAAAACAAAGCACAAAGAATCAAAGAAACGAACACTGAAAGCGAAATTCTAGTAGCGAAAGGCGTTGGGACACAAGAAAGCGAGGATCAGATAGTGTGGGGAAGCGGACAAGATCAAACGGCAGAAAATCGTTCATTGTCTCCCACTTTGTTCGGCTTCACCTGAAATCTCCCCTTCACAGACATTTCTTGCTACTGATCTACCTGTGGCTGCTTGAACTCGAAATCAGTGTATGTTGGTTATTCAGATTGTTCAATCCATTACTCCGACACCGCTAACCTGCGCAGGCATCTTACGTCGTGTAATCCCACTTCGTCATGCCGGCTACGTCTTTGGCCCTCACGCCGGGCCTGGCGTCTTTTCTGAAGTCACTTAAGACAAACCCAATCGATACCTCTATCGAGAATCTCATTTCGTACGGGAGTCCAAATCATCCAAACTGTCTCGCCGGCAGCAGGTTGCTAATATAGTACCTCGTATCTAGATTGCTCAAGCGCCGCCAAATCCGCCATTCGCGTTCATGTGCCACAGCAACTGCCTACTTGCTGCGCAGCGTGATCTCAGCATGCCGCACAGCAGATTCCGCAAAGCTCATTGAGCGGGTGCAAGGTGTGGGAAGGCGGCTGATGGCTGCGCAGCCACGAGAGATGGTTGTGGGCAATATTGTGCGCCGAGTCCTCGGTCTCATTCGCGACGAAGCGGAAGATGATCGCGAAGCTGAGTTCGCCCTCAGTGATGTTGGCTCAGAGAGTCAGCCCCAAACACCCCGCGCATATGACGGTTAGTTCAAGGTCCTTGTCCAATATCTGTATCGGTGACTCACACAGACTATTAGACCCATCATTGCCACTGGACCGTGACTCGCTGTCCATCAGATCCGAGGATAGATCCGCTCGCCCCCCTCTGACATCTATGTTCAGCCTTCTCTCCCACCCAGAACCCGAGCACTCTCTCCCGAGCACCCCGGGATCCCTATCTCCCGGCGGACGGCTTCCCGGTCACGGTCCCAGCAAGGACGTGCGGGCCGAGGTGTTGGAAGGTATTGGTGAGATCATTGACGAGCTGGGCCAGGTAGACGACCAGATTGCCGCCTATGCTTTGGATCACATCCATTCGAATGAGATCATCCTCACACACACGTCCTCGACGACGGTCCAAAAGTTCCTGCTCAAGGCCGCTGCTAAGCGCAAGTTCACTGTCATTCACGCCGAATCATACCCGAATAATCATGAGGCTACACACGCTACCGTCAGCGGTGGTAGCATGCACGATGATGACAATCTCGGCTTCGAAACTTTCCAGAAGCCACTGATCGAGCACGGCATCACCGTGATTCTTATCCCAGACTCCGCCGTCTTCGCACTCATGTCCCGGGTCAACAAGGTCATCCTGGGAACACACTCTGTCCTCGCTAACGGTGGCCTTGTTGCCGCAGCTGGTACTCGTGTCATCGCCCGTGCCGCTAAGGTCCACCAAACACCTATTGTGGTAGTGAGTGGAGTGTACAAGCTCAGCCCGGTCTATCCCTTCGACTTTGACTCCCTTATCGAGTACGGCGATGCGAGCAAGGTCCTTTCCTACGAGGATGGCGATCTCGTCGATCAAATTGATGTTCAAAATCCCATCTACGATTACGTTCCCGCGGAACTGGTCGATCTCTACATCACTAACCTGTAAGTTTGAAGCATCCTTCCCAGCTTTCGATGGGCATTTTTACTGACATTATCTCTTTCTAGCGGCGGTCATGCCCCATCATACCTCTACCGTATTGTGTCAGACCACTACCGCAAAGAAGACATCAGCTTCTAAGCTGGTTAGGTGACAGACAGCTGTAGTAGATCATTGATGAAATAACCAAAATTGAGGGACATGCACGAACGATACCCCAGGAATGATGCTTGACGATTGATATGTGGAAGGAGTATTAGAATTTCTGTGATGTCTGGAGGACATAGGCTTGACATTCAGTACCAAATGCAATCATAGTCACAATGCATCTGCAGGGCAACTCCACACTAAGACACTACTAATAACCTAAAATGATAGCGTGAACATGCTTGACACGCCCAGTACCACATGGGCAGTAACTAGGTACGACGTTATATAGTATAGTAATGGGTTAGAAAAGTGCCCTACGGCTCTACGCTACGTTCAAGTAGAACAGACTATGCCCAACCCCAATTTGGAGTCAAGGAAGTCAGTCTCCAAAGAAAACAAGGTCATGGCGCCATAATCTTTTGGAATTTGTATCAATCGTGTTTAATTCGCAAAGCGTATCCATCACGTTCCAGACGAAAAAACCCGCCGGGGGACTCCCCAAAAAGAAAAGATCTCATGAAATCAAGGCGCTGATGAGGCGGGCTTTCCGTCCGGCACCTTTCCCATACACCGAGGCTCCCGGTCGCTGCATTTTTGATATCGGACAACAAAGAAAGAACTTGTTGGCTTGCTTAAGAGCGGGGCTTCTCCTTCTTCTCGCGCCAAAGAGCGGCGAGACCGACACCGGAGACCTTGACGACCTTGAAACGGACACCGGGAATATCACCCTTGGCCTTACCCTTACGACCGAAACCGGCAAGGAGGACCTCGTCGTTCTCGTCGATGAAGTTGAGACAACCGTCATTGGGGACTATGGGAGATGCTGGTTAGCATTCGTTTCCAATAAGGGTTTTGTTTGTTCGATGGTTCTGGGTTGTCGTTGGTTCGACCCGTGGATTTCCATCTCTGAACAGTAAAAGGGGATATAGGGCTACCCACCGAAAGCAGCGACCTTCTTGCCGTTCTTGATGAGCTGAACCTTGACACACTTGCGAATAGCGGAGTTGGGCTGCTTGGCCTCAACACCGACCTTCTCGAGGACGATACCCTTGGCGTGGGAAGCACCACCGAAGGGAGAAGACTTGAAGGCGGTTCCGAGGAGACGCTTCTTGAAGTGGTCGTCAGCCCAGCGCTGATCCTTGCGGTGAGCCTGGAGCTTGCGGGCGGCGTTCAAACCACGTGGCTTTCCTTTACCCATGTTGGCGGTTTATGTGTTCGACGGTACAACTGAGCGAGAAGATGTTAGCCTCCAGTCGGATGCAATGGTGGTGTATGGCCGGTTTGCGATAGATGTGGAGGGTTGTGGGAAGCCGATTTTTTGTGCGTGCAGATGCGATAGTTGGATCAGGGATCCCGCGAAGAACCCGAATCAAATAATTTCGAGAGACACAAAGAATAGGACGGCAGGAATAACAGGGTATCGATAATACGTACCGACTGGGAAGGGGTGTTGTCGCCAAAGGCTGGAGGTCGATTGTCGAAAAGTCGAAGAGTTCCGGAATTCCCTTGGACCACACTCGCTTTGGATGCACCTCAGGTGACTTTGTGCGGCAAGCCCTAAGCGAGTCACGGGACTGGCGTAACCCCCACCTGGGATTATGTCAGCTGATAACGATAGCTTATCGGCCCCGGCCTTTATCGATAGCCTTCATCTGCTCTACACATACACTTACACAGCGTTGAAGATGGAACTCACGAGGAAAACCACAAATTCCCAGCGATTACCTCCACCCGTTCTGTTTCAGGGCCCTCCATCACACAATGCCTCCAATATCTCCCTATCCGTACCACCCGCGACCTCAGCCCTACCAACACCTTCCGGAAGCCAACCTCCACCACTCCAGCGGAATAGATCTCCTCTCGGGAACGAGGGCGAGAACGCTGAGAAGGCCAATCTACTATCACCATTTATGTCGCGCCGCCTATCCAAACACGATGTGGACGGATCCGACGCTATCTGGCAGGAGATGCAGAGCGCCCTATCTGAAGTCGAACTGAGCGCGGTGACGAGTGAAAATGTCTTTGGAGAAAAGCACTCGGAAGCGCTAGAAGATCTACGACTAAAGCAATTGAAACTTGCCCAAGCCTGGGCGCGCAGCGAGGCAGATGATGAAGTTGTTGATCCCAGCCATGATGGGGAAAGTGCTAAGGCCAGCACGGCCCGGCAACGAGGCGCCACAGAAGCAACCCTCAAGGATGATGCAGCGACTGAACATAGCGCAGGACGTGGTTCAGTCTTACGTCACACTCTGGACGAGGAGACTGAGAAAGATATTCTACTTGCGCGCAAGCGTCGTGAGGCTAATGACCGGTACTTTGATCGGGTAAACCAGGGTGTTTTGGATGTTGTTGCGAAGCTGGAGGAGGTTGCTCAGGCTATGCGCACTGTGGAACGGGAGAGCAAGGATATTTGGAGCGATTCGGAGAGTGTTGCGACTACTGCGCCTTCGTCTCATACTGGGTGAGCCACTACCTCCTTGGGTCATTTGCAGTTGGCCAGCGTCGAAGTATTGCTTCCCGGCTGTGCCTTTAAATTGGCTGCTATAGACACAAGATCCCGTGGGGCATCGTCAAGTCCTACATCATCGCATCATCCTGTCACGGAACACGCTGGACGAGTTACAATCACATCCGTCGGCATAATCATACTAATGCATGTAAACTATAATAATAATCAAATGAGGGTATCCAAACTCCGATGCTCAAATCCAAACAAAAGAAACAAACGTGATCCTGCATCCAAATATCTTACTCCTAGCTCAACGAGACCAAATTGCCCGACCCATATCTCGACCAGGACTCGATATTTATTCCCGCTTAATCACACGCGCAGCAGCCTTCCAACCCTCAGTAGCAGCGTTTCTCACGTCCTCCCATCTTGTCTCATATGCCTTTCGCGTTAAGACCTCGAGTTCCGTGTTCCACGTCTGTTTCAGGATCTCCTTCATGGTTGGCACTGATGGATTTTGAGCCTCTACCTCTTCACGGCGCCGCCGTGGAACATCTGCTGGTAGATTGCGGCGGTCATAGGCGCCAATGGAAGAGGTCAGCCAGTCGATTTGGTCGACCTGGGCGCGGATGGCTTTGCGCTGTTCTATGCGCGTTGAGCGGTGAACTTGGACGGTGATGAAGAGGACTGAGGTTGTGAAGGCAAAGCCGCTGGCCTGTTCAAGGGAGATATGAGGTTAGTCAATGCTCTTCTAATGTAAAGAAGAGGTAAACGTACAAAGCCGGTGAAGAAGCCCATATTTGGTGCGGGTGGTAGCGTTCGCCGGGTTTTGGTCTGGTTCGTAGAAAGGATGACAGCGGCCACAGATACAAAGACTTTATTGAGATAAATATAGGTATTCGCCTGCGAATAAATCCAAGAAAATAACACGACAGAACAATGTCGAGTTGAGAGCGGAAAACTGAAGTCGGGCAGTCGGCGGAAGGGCTCCGATTGGCGGTGGGCCCGGGACAATTCTTCGAACATCGTCTCTTTCAACCACTTGAGCCCTTTGACCGCGGATTTCCAACTATACCCCCAATTTACTCTCCGCTTGCTTTCTCTCCCTAAATCAACCTCCAATTCCTCACCATGGCCGGCGGAGGAGGCAAATACCGACACTTGAGCCGGAACTCCGCGCATCGACAGGCCCTGCTTCGCAACCTGGTCACCTCCCTCTTCGAGCATGAAACAATCACAACAACATGGGCCAAGGCCAAAGAGGCCCAGCGCCTGGCCGACAAGCTGATCACATTGGGCAAGAAGAACACCGAGGCGAGTCGGAGACGGGCATTGGAGATTTTCTACGTATGTGACACCCGGAACAAGCCCATATCAATTTCGACTTGAGAATTCTGTCTGGTTGCGGGAACCTACGACTCAATCAAATGTTCCAATTGTCAACTGCTGCGATTCTCAGTTCATAATCTTCCTGATGAATCTTCAAAAATCTCTCGAACAACACGACTAACAAACCCCCAGACACCACACGCCATGCTCCCCAAACTCTTCGGACCCCTCCGCGAACGTTATGCAGAGCGCCCAGGTGGCTACACACGAGTACTGCGCGTCGAGCCTAGCCAAAAAATCCAATACTTTTCTGTCAAGAAGGGCAGCAAGGCCGCTCCCCCCGAGCGTAAACCGCAACCCCAAGCCCCCATGGCAATCCTCGAGCTGGTCGATGGTCCCAAAGATATGCGCTTCGCCATGACGGCACGCACATTGGCGCGTGAGCGCTCCAAGGGCCGGGATGTGCCGCACGGTCTGACGAGATTGAATGTCCAGAAGGTTACGCAGTTCCGGAAGGATGGTGTTGAGGTTCTTGAGCGGGCTATTTCGAAATTGAGCCTTGGCAGAAAGGAGAAGAAGGCCGAGAAGGAGGACCAGGTTGAGTAGATGGCATTTCTCTCTTTGGTCTAGAGATTATGTTCTCGTCTGGGCTTTATGGTGGTCTCTTTTAGATGGAGCCATTTCCCGTTCAATTTCCGTTTGCTTTGCCTGTTTTATTATCAGGAGTTTTGTCTTCTTCCTGTTTATTATGGCATCTCGTCTTCGTTTGCACTTGCGCATGTGACATAGCCTCTGTATAAAAGATTCTGATACCTCTTTACTGTCAACCCCCTTCGTATTTTCTGAGTAAGTCCGTGTATTTAGCGGTGGAAACAGCTATAAATCGGGTTTACCTCTTCTGCTCAAGAGACAGTCCTTGGCCAAGTCCGAGCGCTGCAAGGTGCTTGACTTGCCTAGTATTCGGGCCTGACACGTAAAGTTTGACGGGCTTCTTTAGGAAAACCATGCGCTGCAAGGTAGATCATAGAACAAAACTAGCTGCAAATGTTGTTTATTCGCGGGATATGGTGACGACTATAGGGCACTTTGGAATTTTACTTTGGTGGCTGCTACCAACGGAAGATCGACAAAGCATATAGGTAAATTCAAGACAAACCAATTTATGTTGAAGTAATAGGCAAGTAGCTCAATTGATAGAGTTGCTCATTCTTCTAGGAGCCCAGGTTCTTGCAGTCGCTACTCACTCGTGAATATTCCGTGTCTTCTCTCCGTGAAATCTGATATATCAACTGCAGCGCAAATGTCTATTCGCTCAATATTCACAATCAAGGGGTACCAGGAGTTTATGCAAAACTACCAATAGTAGAATTCTCTAGCGTATGATCTTAGTACTCGAACTTACGGTCAACCCTGTTTGAATAAAACAAGGATCCCCGGGACAACTGTTCCCGTCTAGGGAGAAACTCAGGACTCATATTTCCAACTTCGCCTGTCTCGGATTCACTCAATGGATTGATAGTCCTTTGTCTCCATTGTCTCAGATTCTGTTCCACATTCTCACCGTCCTGCACCCCTCCTACGTCAAGTATGCAATTGATATTCTCAACTATACACCTCGGAGCTCAAAACACAACTAATCTCTACCCTATATAGAAAAAGCACAACCAGCTCAAACAAACAAACGAAATGTCTCTTGATAATCACAAGCGCTACCGCAACACGGGTCCACCCCACCCCATCGACGCAGACACGTATAAAGAAGTCGCGATCACCTCACCACTAAGATCCCACCCACCGCTACCCTCAACAATCGAATCCAGCACCAGCGACTGCACCCTGCAAGTAAATCACGAAGACTGTACCCTAGAGCTCAGCGACCGCTCCCTAAACCTCGAACTGAACGGCATGCTAAAAGAAAGGCATGTAGAGACAGACATCGAGAAAGAAGCCGTGAACCAGGCAGAGCAGCACGAGTCCGGCCCACAGCGTGCAGGAACCGGCAATGCCAGTCATCTCCCGTACTCGGAGTCCATGACAGAGACGGGGACTGTTAAGCGTCACAGATCTCGTCGGCGGCAGTGGATTATTGCGGGTGCTGTATTGGGGGTTCTTGTTATCCTTACTGTTATTATTGTTCCTTCTGCTATCTATGGTACTCGTGAGACTCAGGCGAGGAATATGGCTAAGGCTCAGGCTAATGAGGTTGGGCTTGGATATACATGAGCTTGAGGTTTAGATATACTTGTGATTGTATTTGGATATATTGGTTGAGGGGTGTTGAGCTGGGTGTTGGAGGAGATACGAATGGATGATTTTTTTTTATTGGTTTGTTAGTTAAATTGTCTGCTTGGGAAACTCCTTGTTTGAACTTGGGAATCTTTAAGATGTAGACAATACAGGGGAGTCTCTTAAAGGTGCGAACAGCAGTCAGAGTGCTACTAATGAACGCTATTTTTTTTTAAAATGTACTAATAAAAGTGCTACAAGGAGGTCAAATGAGAAGCAAAAGCAGGGCAAAAAAACAATGAATGAAGCAGTATACTCGCTTCAGAGGCGTGTATATTTAGTGCGAAGACGTTCCAAATACTTCATGTGTCGCACTATAGTTATATAACGTTATACATTTTACTATGTTAAACTTGAAGACTACAGTTGGAAGTAGGGGCGTAAAGAGTATCCTAATATGTGATATCAACCATGCACACAAATGAACATTGAACCATGGAAGGTAAGAGCTCTACTATCTCTTTCTCTAGCACTAGATGACTTCCTATTCAAAGCCAGTATACATAGCTAAAAGAGTATACAGATAAGAAAAGTATTGGTGAAAATATGGATCCGAATTACCTAAGAGAAGATAAGGGACGTAACTCAACGTCCAGGCGACCATGCACTGCCCTAACTGTACAAAATAACACGACAGTCACATGGTAGCCCATGGATACATCTCACAGCGTAACATTTCCTGTTTCCACCATCATTGTTATTGCTCAAATATCACGCCACGATACCATGCAACATGGAGTGTGTAAGAGCTAACAGCTGAGAGAGCTTCAGTTTGGCTTGGAGAGTGTCGTGCCTCCTGAAACCACCAACGGTCCGTTGTTAACACTAGGAATTCCATTCGCGTATGATGGCGCAGGGGCCGAGGGGGGAACATTTCGGGTGTTCATGTCGAACTCGGAAGGGACTTCGGATGGTGGGGGTTTGGGGGGAAGATGAGAGGGAGTTCCCCATTTGGCAATTGAATCGCGGGGACCAGAGGCAGGGACGCGGTTTGGAATCATGTTTGCGGCAGGGTCCATGTTCCGATTTTGAAGGCCTTCATGGTACCCGGTCCACTGGCCCTGGACGCTGGGTTGCATGTTGGAATATGGCTGCATTGCGTGCTGGGGAATTTTGCTCGGATGGCGGCCAAGAGGTGCGCCACCTGGGATGAATGACCGGGTCTGAGGGTTGAAGTGTGACCTGGCATTGGCATATCCTGCCTGCATTGCGTGAGACCCAGCAGCATTCTGCATTGCAGGATTCATGTGTTGGCCGGGATATTGAGCATAAGGATATCCGCCCATGTTAGGCGGCATGGACTGCTGATGCTGGGGATAACCGGGCCAGTGGACAGGTGGACCGTTTCTTTGAGGTTGGGGCTGTTGATAATTCGTGGGGTAAGACGGAGAGTTCCAGTTGGGATTTTGCTGGTATGGAGCGGTATTTGGCACGGCGTAGTTGTTCATCGCCGGCGAGGACTTGTTTGACGATTGTTGACTCATCATTCCTGGCTGGTTCATCGAAGCGTACCCAGAATACGGCGATTGCTGTGGCATGTTGCCTCCCTGCCATGAGCCATTGGAGGTCATTTGAGGTGACATTGTCATTGGATACTGCATGCCGTTCATATTCATTTGGCCCTGCATTTGGTTTGGCATTTGACCTTGCATCTGGCCTGGCATCTGGCCTGGCATCTGGCCTGGCATCTGGTTGGGAATCTGTCCCTGCATCTGTCCTGGATACATCGCACCACTCTGACTAGATGGCAAATAACCACCTGAGGGTGGGGGTGGGGGTACACCGGGCCCAACCAAGTAGGGTACTTGGTTCGAGTATGAATTGTCGTTCACGGCAACGTTGTATGGAGCGGAACCGTTTGCATATTGCATGCCTGGATAGTAGGCGTTGAACTGGGAGCGAACCTCGAAACTGTCATCATGAGGAGGCCTCTGTTTCTGGTTCTTTTTGCGACCATTCACGGAGCTGGAGCGCGACATGTTGGGATTTGATTCGCCACTAGCTGTGTCCGATTTGGCGCTATCTGGGAAGTCCCGGAAAATGCGCTCACGCGCTTCGTGGTATTTCGCTTCCCGTTCCTCTCTTGTGAGATTCATTCGATCTTTGGCGGGAGTAGCGCCAGATGAAGACCCATTTCGTTCTCCATCTTGACCACTATCACCAGCCTCCGAAGTCGCCTTCGACGGAGCTGAAGAGCCTCCGATACTTCCATCGGTTCGATCGCCGTCATTCCGGCGCATAATCTTCATTGCCGGGACAGTTGTAGGAGGCGTGGTGTGGGTGGAAGCATGCACCATGGCCAAAGGCGTGGGTCTAACCAGGTCAGCAATCAATTCATCAGGGCAAAAGGGAATGAAATAACCTACAGTCGGCAGAACGGCGTTCGGTGCAGCCTGACCGAAGTAACATTGTTGTCGACAAAATGTGTCAAATGATAGTAATCCCCTAGCTTGTGTGCAAGAAGTCGCCCAAATGCGTTTGATGGAGGCAGCTCCAAGGATTGCTCGCTGAGATTATTATGTTAGTTAAACCCGCAAGGGAGAGTTGCATGGGTAAGAGGGTTATTGCTTACCTAGAATCCTTGATGAAATGACGAATCTTCTCCTCCAGCTGAAGGATCAAAAGACGGTCTTTTGGTGATTTCATTGCCTCCAAAAGCTTCTCGTCTGGATCAAGAGGGAATCCATGTAGATTTTGACCGTCCTGAATGCTGTCAGGGTTGGCAGGGATCACAAAGTTGTTTGCGACTGAATCCGGGGGTATTGCGCCGTTGCCAGACTGAGTGTCATTGAACAGAGGACCAGAAACGGGAAGAATCCCGCGTGGTCGTAGAGGGATGCCATCTCGGAAGTGGTCCCGATACGCGCGGCTGTCAGCTTCAGAGCCTGCCACCGAATTGGGAGCGCCAGAGGCAGGACCAGAAAGTGCATCCTCTTCGTCAATAGCCTGAACGCTAGCACTGTCATCAGGGCGCACAGAGTCTTTTTCATCCATTGCAAAAGTAGTCACTGAAGCAAGACTCTTCGAGTCGAAACTGGTCATTTTCGTGGATGATGTAGAAAGATGAGTACGATCATCATCAAAAGAGTTCTCTCGCTTGAGCAACCCATTTTCCTGACCACCAAGGAAAGAGCCCGAGCCTGCGCGGTGCTTGTTTAGGGTAATCCCGATATCTTGCACGCCTCTTCCTAGGTCATCGACAGCTAGGTCAATAGAGTTGGCCTCCGGCGTTTTATCCAGGGTGTGCTGACTGGGCAAATTAACACCCGAGTCATGCGCTTCCGCGCAAGAAGATGGGGCTACCTGTTGGCAGATGTCGTTCTCGTTAGATGCTGAGGAAATTTGGGGGTTGGAGGTCGCGGCCATTGCGGCAATCTGGTTATTTAGATTAGCGATGATTCACTAATTAGTGCGCTTTGATCAGCAGTACTCATGAGCCATACCTTTGCAAAAGAGAGCGGGCCATCTCCTCCGGGGGGACTTTGGGATGCCATATCAACGCTCGCGGGATGCGTGTCGAAATTGTTTAGATACCACAAAAAAATCCCGAGATCAAGCCAAGATGCAGCTGCACTTAACACGCCTCGGATCCTTAATTATGAAAGAAGCGGAAACACGTCTGGTTGGAAAGTAGGTTGTTGGGGAAATCCGTTTCACACAAGCCCAAAACGAAAGACATATCTCTGGAAGAGGGCGATCGCCATGGAGAAAGCTGTGGGCATTAAGCATTAGCAGTGTAGAGTAGCATGGAGTATAGCCAGAGGATAAGTGGGGAGTAAATGGGACTCAGCAGGGCAAGCCCCCACACTCAATTCCAAGCAACGATCCTTACATGATATCAAAGCTGGCTCATGTTCAGGGAGATAAAGGCCTCGTCCTGAGATGGAAAAAATGCAGATCGGGCAGCCCTGGAAAAAGGCAAGAAACTCCACTAACTTATCCGAGCCGGCGGAACTGAATGACCTGAGAATTGATAGACCTCAAAAGAGAATCAATATCGATCAGGGGCGTTGGAAACCTGAAATCTGATTATTCTCGAACGCCTGAAGATTCGTGGGCGCATTTTGCCGCGCCCCACCGCCCCTGCCGCGCGCCTACAATTTCCTTGGGCTTCAAAGGTGAACAGCCGCCGATCAAACGACTTGCGCCGAACCACTTGACGCCTGATTTCGACTGTACACCCGTGTGTGGTCTTGTTCATACCACATAACGAGGCTTGAAGGATCTCTTGCTACAAAATTCGACTCCGTCCGCCACACTACACTTTCCAATGAACCGTTATAGAAACGCTCCGACGCTTCGGGGCCCCAGCAAGGCCTCCGCGAACACACAGTGTCAAAAATGCCTCAAACGAGATATGTGTCCCCTTTCGCCGTGAAGGATTTGGGCTAACTTCAACGCACGGCACTACAGTTATGAATGCAAGGCAACAGCACAAGAGCGGCCATATATGGCACGTCCTTCGCGGACTCAGCAACTTATGAACCCCAAGTTGATGCCCAAGCTCTCGAACGAAAATCCAAATGAGCTTCTGCAGACGTGAGTACCTATCATCTTGCACACCCCATGCCTATACTGTAACTAAACAAGACATAGAGCTGGTGTGGCTGATGAGCTACTTGCGAAACGAGAGCAGGAGCGTGGCCGAAAGAGGGACCTTGAAGATACCACAGATCGCGACTCTCAGTCTCCGAAGCGGGCCAGATCCGTCTCATCGCACTCAATGACTTCAATTTCAACTATATCAACCAACCGATCCTATTCCGCATCTCCTCGCCGGAGCAGACGTGACGCACACGACGGTCATCGGGATTCCACATCACCACCTCCAACTAAGTCTCGGAAAAGACGCTACAGTGATTCTTCAGAGGGCCGTGCTGGCTCGGTACACTCTTCGGAACAAAGACCTCGCTCGATCTCCAGGGAACGCACTGAGGATCGCAATACTCGACGAAGACGCCGTGAGTCTAGCCCCGAGGAAAGAGGGCGGCACCGTGCTGCGGGAAGACACAGCTCGCGCCGAGACCGCCGTAGCAAGAGTGCGGACAAGGCCCGTGTTCCAAAGGAAAATCGTTCTCCAACTCCCGATGGTGCCCGTGACCGTCACTACCGGGATCGAGCAAGCCCGCCACGCCAGTCTCAACCGTCTAGACAAGATACCAGAATGCGGAGTGATCAGCCTCCTCGTGAACGGAGCTTGAGTCCTTTCAGCAAACGCTTGGCTTTGACTCAAGCCATGAACCATGGACGGTAAATCAATTTCAATGGTGTTCTGCTACATTAGGATTCTTAAGGCGCAATGAGTTGATGGGGCGCCAATTCATGTTCCACTGGCATATGTGAACAAGTGTATTATTAGCATTTTCAGGCATGCGACTTCCAACCTATCAGCCTCCATAGCGAAACAAAAAAGATGTCAAGAACGATATTAAAAGGACAAAACAGAATTGCTCATTGAAACTGTTTGGAATGCAACCTTTCCTAACGCCTCATTTTGATTTGCAGTATGGCAGCATGCCTGTGCCTTAATCGGACGCCTCGAGATAGAAATATGAAAAATGATAAAATGGACAGAATATAGAAAGTACAGGTAAAGGCAGAAAAGCTAGAGAGCACCAGCCCTGCCAAGGGTATCACATTCAAATCGTTTCATCGTCGTCCTTCTCCTCTCGCTCGCGCATATGGATGCCCTCAACCAGTGTCTCGCCCTCCATACCCACTTCCTCGCCCTCTCCATTCGATGCCCCGCCACGTTCCTTCGCAGCGCGCTGTGCAGCCTCTATCCGTTGTCGTACAAGTCGAGCAATTGCATTTTCCGTCCGTACGTCGAGAATCTTAAGCTTCTCATCCAGATCCCGCTTCAAGTCCCAGTTCGGTTTCTTCGGTTGCAGTTTGAATAGATCAATGGGTTGGTCGGCCTCTGCGTCTTTCTTGGCTTGCTCTGCTGTGGCCTTTGCGATTTCCGCTGCCTGTGTCTCAAGCGTCACCTGGCCCTCTTGTGGGCCCTGCTCGAATCCCAGCTTGGGGCCGCGGGCTTCGGGATCGTAGTTGCGGCCAGACAAGTAGGTTCTTGTCACATCTGGTTCGGCGTCGGCATCCGGAAGCTCTTCTGATGCACCGGCATCTACCGTCTCGGGTTCTGGTTGCTTGCGCTTCAGGGCTGCGAGCTTAGCGAGGCGGGCTTTGCGGTCGATGGACGCCGCATCGAGATTGGCGTGGTTCGACGACATTCTTTCGATGTTGTTTGGAAGTGGCTGTGGGAGGTTTTGGACTTGGGCTCCAGGAGAAAAAGTGACTGGGGTGACCTAGAGTAATCCCAAGCTCCGAGAAAGTTGAAGAGCGGAATGATAAAAGATGTGGTGCGCCACACCTAAGCCACGGCAAAATCGGGCGGAAATCAACTTTCAACACTTAACCATACTCCGACTTCTTCACCCTGCGCGACTTTCTGGGTTTGTTCTCTTCTGGGTTTCCCAATGTATGCGAATACATACTCCTGAATGTCATTGTGTCCGCACCAACTCGTTCGGTCCCGTCTGAACGGGTTGCTTTCGCCGCAATGCCGCAGCGCAGGCCGATGGTATCGGGACCCCGGGGCGCCAAATTTTGGACATAGAGTGCAGCATGCCTCGACTTCCGGTTCTTCAGCGATCTTGGAGCCTGGAACTACACACGATGACCTCAGTTCCGGAATATCGCAACTTGCCAACCACGATCCCGAAAGCCCATACCCCGAGGAGTCAAGTCATTTCGCAACAGATGAACATGGCAACGCTGAGAACTCAACCTCGAGAACTCGATCAAACCACCGTCAAATTCGAAGAAATGCGGCACCACTCCCACTCATGCCGAAGAAGGAAATACGGAAGATTATCCATGCGCAAGGTCTTGCTCCCAGTCTCGTGAATCCTATATCTAGGAGAATCAACGTCGCAATTCAAAAACAGGGCAGACCATTGAAAAAGCGAACACTTTACCTGATGACTGTGATGCGACTGAACTCCATATATACGCGCGAGCTGGGAATTCGCCAATGGAAACCCGCATATGAAGCGATCTACAAGGCCAAGGTATATGACCGCGATGTCATAAACAAAGCTGTTCTTCCTACACTGCGAGGCGAGGGAGAAGCATTGCTAGAATTGGTCCGCAGTGACTGCCAAGGGAAATTCCGCGAAGAGTGGGGAGCTATGACAAGGCCTCGAAAAGCATTTGCCTGGCAGCGCCTTGCCATTTGGCTGTTGCAGAACGACCCAAAACTAGCATTGGAGTTTCTGCTTGTTACGACCGCGACCCAAGAAAAGCCGGACTTTACTCTGGTCGCTGATTGTCTGTTGTATTTGGATAGATTCTATTATGAGGACTGGCTTGAGGATTGGCAGAGCGGTGATCACACATACCAATCGCTTGTTGAGACTTGCCTGAACCCAAGGGAGTGGCCCATCTTACAAACACCTCACAAAGGATTCCGGCTCTTTATTCGCCGAGCCAGCGCAGACGGCGTCTCCGATGCTCTGCGGATTGTGAAGGAGAGGGGCATCTTCATGACAGCTGAAACTGCGCTTTGCTTTGTGAACCGTTTTACGGAACTCAAGGACGCACAACGGGCCTTGGAAGCCCTGGATTTCCTCCCCAAGATTAAAGACCCTGAATTTGGCATGAACTCTGAAGGTGTTTCACGACACTGCTGCAAACTCTTAACTCTTGACACTGTCGAGGATAAAGATGGTGGACGCAATTTCCGAATTCTTCCCCAACTACTCAAGATGGGCATCAACCCTGGACGAGACATGATGAACGTCGTGCTCGCCAACGCTTACAAAACCGGTGATCCTCAGCTGGGATCTGATATGCTTCAGTTCATGAAGAATCACGGCCATGATTTCGACTCCTATACCTACTTGACTCTCCTCACGGACGCAGTCTCTCGAGGTGACCGCGGTCGTGTCGACGAGTTGGTCCAGGAGGTTGAGATGCAAGAGGAACTTCGAAAGAACCCATACATCTTCAGCAAAATCTTCCATGCCCACTACACTTTTACCGCCAAGCACATCGACCCTAATACAGACCCCTCGGAGGTCTTCTACTCTATGCTTGAAATGTACAACAGACTCCACGACATCACTCCCCTCAAAGAACTTCACATGATCCCTCCCCAATACACCCAACCACCAACCCAAGGAATCAGAGGCCCACCCTCCCCAGTATCCTTGTTCCTAATGATTTCGACCTTTTTCCGCTGCAAAAACCGGCAGAACCATGCGCATCGCATGTACGAACAGTTCCGCACTCTCGCGCAGCAGGGCCACCCATCCATCGCCCCTCTAGTCGAGACCGATCACGTCTACAACGAGTTCCTCATTGCCTTCCGCAGAGCCGACCGTGGACTGCGGGGTTGTGTCCGTCTCGTGGAGGACATGCTCGACTCATCCTCTATCCCAAAGGAGACCACAGATGGCAGACCTCTCCACCCTGTCCAGCCAACCCCCCGAACCTGGACGATCCTCCTCAGTGCCTTCAACTACCACAACCGACCCGATGCAGCAGAAAAGGTCAAGCAAATGATGGCGAAGCATAACGTCAAGTATAACGAGGTCACTTGGAATACCATCATCAACGGGTATGCGAATGCGCAGAAGATCCCCGAGACCGCTGCTGCGATCAAGATGATGGAGCAGCAGGGTTTCCCTATTGATCCTTACACGATGAAGAGTCTACGCTATCTGCGTGACCCTGAGCGGCTCTGGGTTTCCATGGAGGAGTTGGACGACCAGCATGTTCAGAAGGGTCTTCAGCCTACTCCTCCGCTTACTGTGCCGGACTCTACTTCTGATATTCACGCTGGCACGGAAGAGCGTGATCAGCTGATTGATCATGGCTTAGAGAAATTGAAGCCTAAGCTGTGATATCGGATACCCTTTTGTTTCTTTTACTTGTTGGCTCGGTGGGTTTAGCCATGGGTGCATTTCGGATGGTGTTTGAAGAACTATTTTAAACTTTTTGTAAATTTGGATATCATGTACTATACATTGCATCATCATGAATTTGTGTTTGCCCGGATACTCGTTGCATCCAGTCCCATCAAATAATTGTTCAAAATGAACCCGCTTTGGCCCTCACTTAGGCGTTGGCGAGTAGGGCGAATGCTCGAGGGTACTCAGGTTATCCGCTATCAGAAAGCGAATAGACCGATTTAGCCACCGAAGAAGATGGAAACCTATTCAGTAAAATGTCAATTAGTACCCATTTTAAATTCTCGTAGATCTCGAGCTGTCGACTTACTGCCATGAGAACGCAGCAAATGCTAACATAGGGGCTCAGTCGTTCTCCAACACGAGCACACTTCCAGAATATCCCAAAGATTCTAGCAAGTCAGCGTCAGCATCTCACGTCGCTACCTCGTCAGGCCAAGTGACCACCTACCCATTCTGATTCCGGTCCATAATCCCGGGCATAATCGAGTGCGCATAACTGCTTGTGCAGATGATAAGAAGAATCACCAGCAGCAGCGACTGAAAGTTGAAAAGGGCCGTCTAGGTAAGTTCATTGTCATGTTAACATTGTGATCGTTATCGTGGCCAGTATGCAACAGCAGGAGTTGAATGGGAGTCCCATGACAACATTCACCTGCTTTTGCTGGCAACCTCAGAGCAGCAAAAGCTCACCATTTTGAAATAGGTTTCGAATCCTCGCCCGCAACGTGGGCCTTGGAGAGCTGCAAGTCAAGGAAGTGAGGTAGATCCCTGGGCCAGGTCGCGAACCAGCCGATTCTGCCAACCATGCCCGCCAAACGCACGGCCCGCAAGAAGCGGGTATCCTTTTCGCTGCCAAATGCTTCAAATGAAGCTGCTTCTAATCTCCGCTCGACTCCCTCGATTTGCAATTCGTCAGGCAAACCTGCGTCGGGTCATGTGCCACGCAAATCCATACCCTCCTGGCTTAAGATCCCGTTCAACGAGCAAGACTCAGCTCTAATCCGCGCCGATTATCAACCCCAGTGGACACCCAAGAGTCCGACTCCCGAAGAACCTCCCGACAAAGCTCCCGATAGTCCCTCTTATATAACACCAAAGGGCCCCAAGAAGCCCACCAAATCCGCCATGGCTGAACCCCGTGCTCGCGTCGCCCGCCACAAGGGCCAGATGAACTTTCCTGCAGAGCGTACGTTCTGCGCAACAAACCCATTGTCGCAAGCCGATAACTAACTTCAAATCTAGTCCGTCTCCTTCTCCTCGCATACGGAGATCCAAGTCCCCACCCATCCTTCTCCAGCGAACCCCTTCCAGAAACCGTCCGCGTCCTAGATGAAATCGTCACCGACTTCGTGCTAGAAGTCTGCCACGGCGCCGCCCAAGTCGCCCACCACGCCCGTCGCCAGAAGATCAAAGTCGAAGACTTCCGCTTCGCCCTGCGTCGCGACCCCAACAAGCTCGGTCGTGTCCAGGAACTGCTGCGGATGGAGCGTGAACTAAAGGAAGCGCGTAAAGCCTTCGACCAGAATGATGACCAGGTTGCTAAAGAGGCCGGCAAGAAGGGTGCTGCCGCTGCCGCTGCCGCTGCAGCTGCTGGTGAAGACCCCGAGGCTGCTGAGGCTGCTGCTACCGCCGGTGCTCTGAAGAAGGGCAAGGGCAAGGGAAAGCGTGGTGCTGGGCCTCGTCGTGGTTCGGATGCTACTGAAGAGTCGGTCTCGAAGAAGCGCAAGACTCTCAACTAGTTTCCGTCTAGTGGTTTATTGTCCTGCCATTTTTCTTTCGGCATTGGGTTATGGATGGCGTTCGATTTCCTTTCTGTGGTTCGCTTTCGGACGCAAATATCATGATTATCGGCGTTGGCGGGTCTCTTTTTCTGCTTTGCATGGGGCTATGGTCTGGACATATGGATGAATAGGAACATGGGATTTACTAATGCGGAGAATTCAAGATACCAATTCGCAATGAAACGTTTGGCCGAGTGCCGTGTACTTTTACTTCTCTACTTGGAATTGTAGCTGTGAGATACTGCCAATGTCGACCAAGCCAATGCGAAAGCATTATGTCTACAAAAAAAGATACAGCATGAAGTATACATAGTTTATTTTCTCGGGTACCAAAAACCCAACACCAAAAAATGGTTTCCCTGGGAATCGAACCCAGAACCTTTCCGGAACACTTGCTTGAAGCAATTGTTAACGGAAAATCATAACCGCTAGACCAGGAAACCAGATCACATGATAAATGCGGGACAATTGTGCTACATGAGGGAAAAGCAGATCTGAGGTTCAGGATATCCGTCTTAGTCTCTTCTATATCTCTGGGGCACTTCGATTTATACTAGGAAATGGTTCGAACTGACCTCCACATTGGTTCTTTAAGAGCTTTTAGATCACCTTATGAATAACAATATTAAACTAAGCGTGGAGGTAAACGGCCAGGTATATGATGATCAGGTCTATATTGTATTCCTATCTTTGACCTATTTTCAAACGTAGTTTCTAGATCTCGGTCTGTAGTCTATATCTATGTAGCATATATCATCATCAAAGAAAGAAAAGACAAATCCTACAATTGAATGAAATATCCCTGTTACGCTTATAAGCAACAACAGCCCTCAGTGCTCGGAGTCCCTCTGTCCCACACGCCTTGGACCCTGTCTAAGTTAGGCTGGGCTCCGCTACCAGTGGTAAAATGACTACCCATATATAGCAAGCCAATACGTTTCACTGAGGATCATGATGAGCGTCGGGTCCTCGGCCGAAGTGACGACCAAGAATCTCATAAAATAACAGAAAGATCTACTCCAGTGACCCTCACCATATCCTCTCTACAGCTTAAACTACAACTACAGCTACATCATGCCCGAACACAAACCCCAAATCCCAATCCCAAACCGCCTCAAAGGCCTCGTCGCCCTGATAACCGGTGCAGCCGGAAACATCGGCCTCGAAGCAGCAAGTCGGCTCTTACACGAGGGCGCCAGTGTCGTTTTGGTTGATATCAATGCCGAAAAGCTCGCTCAATCGAAGCGGAAGCTTATTGATGACTTCAAAGAATCGCCAATGTATACGGATCAGTTCATGGTGGATGATGCCATTTTTACAGTACAAGCCGATGTTACTGTCGAAGAGGACGTGCTGAAGTCGGTTACAAAAGCCGTTTCTAAGTTTGGACGGTTGAATATTGCTGTTCTCTGTGCTGGGATTTCGTATTCCTCCACAAATATTTTGGAAACGGATATTGAACAGTATGATAAGGTTATGCGGGTTAATTCTCGGTCTGGTAGGTCTCCCCCTTCTATTAAAAATTATAGGAATCTTGGATTGATGCTCGACTATATAAAGCTTTCCTAGGTGTCAGGCACTGTCGAAACGCCATGAAACAAACCGGATCTGGGGGCAGTATTATCCTCGTATCTTCAATCGCCGGTCTCCGTGCTACACCTGGTTTATCAGTATACTCAATGTCGAAGTTTGCACTGCGTGGTCTATGTCTCTCTGCGGCAGCAGAGCTAGAACAATTCAATATTCGCGTGAATACGGTGCACCCATCTGGAGTCAATACGCCCATGTTCCTTGCTTCTTGGCCACCAGAGAAGATGGAGAGTATGCTTGCTTCTGTTCCTCTTGATCGGTGGGCTGAAGTAGCTGATGTTGCGGCGTTGGTTGCGTTTTTGGGGAGTTCTGATGCGCAGTTTATGACCGCTGGTGCGCTTAAGGTTGATGGGGGAGTTGTTATGTATTAGTTGGTAAGTATATTTTGTTGGATGCTTGTACTTGGAATGGAGATATGTATTGAGGACCAGATCTGAGAATAATCCGTGGAACTTAAACGTTACCTGGCTTGGTAATGGTACACATTTGTATACTTCCTTCCCGAAGATGGATACAGAATATATATATAGTAGTAGCTCGTTTCGCGTTCATGCTTATAAAACACAATCTGCTGGTAATTGATGGAAATATCCTTAATGACAGCGAGGTCCTCTCGAAGAGCCTCCAGAGGATGAGGAGTATGATCAATTTAATGATGATGATACTCAAAAGAATGGCGTCATAACCTGATAGACCAGAAGAACGATTATAAAGTCGGTATATGACGGGGCGAGGACTTTAGTCCTTAAGAAGCAAAGCTGCAAACAAGGCCTTGAGGTATCCTATGGCAATGCCATGAAAAGTTTACAGACTCGAGATACTGCAGCTCGGCCTCCACCATCGCGGAATTAGGGAAACAGTCCGACAACAGGTGTTCGCGATTTGCATTGGCATATAAACCTAGCGATAGCCGTGCTATCATACAAAAGCTGTTAGCTTTCTTCTCTGTGCTGTTATATGCTTTAAACCGAGTATACCGTTCCTTGCATTGTTTTTGTCCTACTTGGCCCCTCTTTTTTCACCTCTTCTTTCACCCATTTTCGAGTGCCTTAGGTTGGAGCTATTTAAACATATGCTGAAGTGCCTAAAGAAGGAGGCTGATCTCTATGTTATGATATACGCACATAAGACATAAAGCTCTGATCGCAAAATTAGAAGCAAGGAGTGATCCCAGACAAGCAAAGCCAGAATGAATAAACATGATTGTTTCGTGTGAAGTGCGTCTGACGGGGCATCCACAGAACTTACTGTTCCGAACGAACATGATTGCCCAATGCGCTGCCAGAGCCGGAAGATGGAGGAGAGGGAGGAGTAGGAGCCGGCCGAGAGATAGGGCAGCGACTACCCAGGGGCAGACCATAGCAGTGGCAGAAGGAGTTCTAAGCCACGATGACGCTGTTCAAAACATGTCAGTCTTCGTGTTTAGCCGTGTTACAGGCAGTAAACTCAGCTCATCTTTGAGTGAAGAGCTTTGCTGAAAATATGCCATCGCGTTCTACACAGCAAGCCCACTACACAGCACCGTACAATAAGTTCGCACAAGCCAATCCAAGAGGCAATCTCTAGAACTTTTATGTCCATTTCATCATAACTGAAAACGCCGCGCCCAGATAGATGCGACTTCATAAAAACCGGGTCGACCCCGAGGAGATCAGCACTCTCCACACGCGCACACCAGCCACCAACACATATACCAATACATTGATGTTTCAGATAGATTGTCCTCAGCCCAAAGCGAGGACCAATCCCACCACTGGTGTTTTAAGACCGAATATGCCTGATCATCTAGACGGGCAAATCGAATCTGGAAGCCATGAAGGGGGAACATGACTGGGTCGTAGTCCTGTGCCCTGTAGAAGCTCGCGGGGAGGGGAAAAAGAAAAGCGGAGCGGAAAAAAGGAAACAAGAGGAAGAGAAGTGGGATGGTAACAAAGAAACAAGACCCAAAAAGAGGTAGAAAAGGGAGGAGGGTAGAAGAGGCAGAGAACGTAGTATTAATAACGTTCACTTGGATTGGATGGTACGGTTTCCTCCCGCAATTGGTCACATTATGCATCAATTTCGCTTAATTCCTTATGCGCGGGCTTCCTCGCGGTCCTGGCGGCGGTTTTGGTTGCCCTTGCCACGCTGGTTGCCTTTGCCCTCTCCGGTGGCAGCTCCCTCACCACCACCCAGAGTCAGCTGGGCGGTTGCTAGACGGGTGGACAGCTCCATCTGTGTGCGAACGGTGTTGGCGAGGTAGGAGACCACCAAGACGTCCTGGATGTGGTTGTTGCTGTGCGGGGTTAGTTATGGATCATTAAAGCGGGGGTAGGATACATACAAGTCACGCTCAATGTCGGCGGGCTCGACCTTGGGGGCGAGAGCAAGAGCGTTGAGCAGGAACTGACCCATCGCTGTCGAAGCGGGGGTCTCCTCGTCAATAACGGACTCGACGTACCGCGAGACACGGTCAATCATGGAGAGAACCTCCTCAACGGCGCGCTCGAGAGACTCAATATCGGAGGTGATGGTGGCAGAACGCTCCTCGGCGTCCTTGGCGTTGGCAATCGACTCGAGACCACTCTTATCAGCCTCGCCGTAGCGGAGCTCGTAGGGAACGGGAATGAAGGCGGCACTGTCGGCAGCGCGCTCAGCGGTGACACCGACGGGGGCGGAAATGTAAGCACGGGTCTCGAGGTCCTTGCCGGGCTGAGTTGAGACAGTCAGGTGGACAGCGGGGTGAGGCCAGGTACCGTCACCCTGGCCGCTGTAGAAGTTCTGGATCAAGGCGGAGAAAGTGTTGAGTTCGGAAGCAGTGGCGTACCAGCCAACAAGGACCTCGCGCGGGTTGGCCTTCAGGTGCAGGGCGAGCATCTGCTTGTGGTATTCCATATCGACCTCGACCTGGTCCTCGGCCTCGGAGTGGCCCACAGCGAAGGCGGATCGGACCTCGACTTCACTTCCATCCTCAGAGCGTGTTCCTAGCAGTGTACCGATGACGCGTTCCTGGTCGGCATTACGGCGCAGCGAGTGATCGAGGACGGAGAAGATGGCCTGAAAGAGTGAGCTTTGTACCCCTCGGCGAGTAGATCCCACTTACCTGGGGCTGGATGACCACGTTGAGAGGGGCAGTGGTGGGAGCAGTCCCCACGCTGACGGGACCCAGAGGGCGAGCAAGGTGCAAAAAGGAGTCCATGATTGATATGAATGATGAGGTTCAATCCAAACGCCAAACTCAGCAAGCCTTCCGGAGGTTCAATTTTTCCTTGAGTGGAGTCGTGGATGTTCCGATTCTTTGTGTGTGGGAATTTTCGCGCTAAGATAAGAGATAAGCAAATTCTCTACTTCGACAACTGAACGTTTGAACTCACACAGTAACAATGCCTGCACGCGGTTCTTTTAGAGGTCGAGGACAGGGACGAGGCCGTGGCCGCGGTCGTGGAGGTCGTGGTCGTGGTCGTGGTGGCCGTTCTTTCGCTACATCTCGACTGAATGAGTCTGAGTGAGTTGCCCGAAGTCGATACCGGGGTATAGCTACTGACAGACTCTGCAGATCGGACAACTCTTCCGGAGAAGATGATGCCAGTGAACAATCGCAAGAGGAGGTAGATGATACTCTTATGGACCAGGATGAGGGTTCATCGAGCAGCGACGAAGAAGAGGAAAGCACCGATCGCCCATACAACGAGCTGCTCCAGCTGCTCCACACCGAGAACGACTCGCAAGGACCAGCCCGGAAGAAGCGCAAGACTGCTACCGACTCCAATGAGGAGATTAAAATGGCAGAGCCGGAACCAGAGCAGGGTAACGATGACCTGGAAGCTCAGGCCCCGTCCGACGACGAAGAAGAGGAAGTCGATGAGGACGACGACCCTACTGGTGCATTTGAAAAGCATTTCAGTCTTGTCGATAGTGTCGATCTAACCAAGAGAGTCGAGAATATTACGTCGAAACAATGGGCATCGGCCAAAAAAGAGGTGGATGGCTTGCGACTGGTCCAGACCACCCCAGACACAGGAGCAGGTGCGGCATTGCTGCCGCCAATGAAAAGCACAATCAACATGAAGGTATGCACGGCGCTTCTATACGTTGACAACGACTAATGTCTCGCAGCTCAAAAACAAATTGAAGCCTCGCGCGGCCGAACTTCTGCCCAAAATCAACGGCCAAGCCCAGAACCTTGCGCCCTATATCTTCGACTACCAGGATGTCCTTTACGGAGCCCGAACTACCGCAAATTCGGGCGAGATGCGCGATATCCTCGCCTTGCATGCTGTAAACCACCTGCTCAAGACTCGAGACACCGTCTTGAAGAACAACGCCCGTCTTTCCAAGGATCCGGATACCGATATCGAGTGTCGTGACCAGGGATTCACCCGTCCCAAGGTGCTATACATTCTACCAACCCGACAGGCCTGCGTGAAGGTCCTCGATGCCATTACCCGATTCTACCAGCCTGAACAACAAGAAAACAAGAAGCGCTTCACGGACAGCTTCTCCGGACCCGAGGATGCTGCATGGGAGCACAAGACTGAAGATTTCCGCGAACTATTCGGCGGAAACGACGACGACATGTTCCGCCTGGGTCTCAAGTTCACTCGCAAGACCGTCAAGTACTTTGCGCAATTCTACAGCTCGGACATCATCCTCGCCAGTCCCCTCGGTCTCCGAACCATCATGGACCAAGCCGACGCCAAAAAGCGTGACCACGACTTCCTCTCCTCAATCGAAGTCGTGATCGTCGACCATGCCGACGCTCTCCTCATGCAAAACTGGGACCACGTCGAATACATCTTCCAGCACCTAAACCTGCAACCAAAGGAAGCGCACGGCTGCGACTTCGGCCGTGTCCGCAACTGGTACCTAGACAACCAAGCCAAACATATCCGGCAGACAATCGTCTTGTCAGGCTTCATCACGCCAGAAATCAACTCGCTCTTCTCAACACACATGCAAAACGCGACAGGTCGCATCAAAGCAACGAAAACCTACGCCGGCGCCATCACTGAGCTCCCCCTCCCCGTCTCCGTCAAACAAACCTTCACCCGCATCGACAGCATCTCCCCGCAAAAAGACCCAGACGCCCGCTTCAAGCACTTCACAACAACCATCCTGTCGAGCCTAGTCAAGAACATCACCCACGGCCGCGGCAAAGGCGGCGCCGGAACCCTCATCTTCATCCCCTCGTATCTGGATTTCGTGCGCGTGCGCAACCACTTTGCCACCTCGGCCCAGACCACCAATATCTCCTTCGGCGCTGTCTCCGAGTACACCGAGTCCAAGGAGGCGAACCGTGCTCGCAGTCATTTCTTGTCCGGCAGACACTCTGTGCTACTGTACACCGAGCGCGCGCATCATTTCCGACGGTATCAGGTTCGCGGCGTGAAGAGGGTTATTATGTACGGATTACCGGATAATGCGTTGTTTTATAGTGAGATTGTTGGGTTCTTGGGTCTTGATCCGGCGGAGTTGCTTGAGGCTGCAGAGGGGGGTGTGCGTGCGCTGTTTTCCAAGTGGGATGCGCTTAAGGTTGAGAGGGTTGTTGGTACTTCGCGTGTTGGGAATATGTTGCGTGAGAAGGGTGGTGATACTTTTACTTTTGTATAATCTGATCCATATGGATAGCAATGACAATTTACATATCCCTACTTGGATCTCCGCATATTGAGCGGAGTATGCATATCGCAGTTCTGCCTGGATGCGAACCGAGGTAGACCAGTTGGTAAATCCCTTAGTCTAACGTTAGATATCACAAGTAGAATTAGAAGAGAAAGAAATATAAAGCCCAGATATAATCAAAAAAGAAACCTCTTTATATAATGTTGCTTGGATCTATGAGTCGAAGCGGTCTAACGTTGGAAAGCACGAGGCTCCACTCTGTCATGCGTGAAAATCTCTTTTAGTCACATTTCCCCAATACAATCTCACTCCCTGATTCTGTATATTCCTCAGCTACGGAGTAGAGGTATCACCTCAAAAGTATCAAGTACATAATAAAGACAGGGGACACACAAAATACCAGCAGAGCCATGTCCCCAAAGACCCCACAGGCCCGGGGTCAGGAACCAACAGGCTCCAATACCGAGTCCAGGATGAGAAATCCTATCAACCAACAATACAAGGATGAAGATCAATATCAAGACCATCCAGATGCACCCCTACCGATCGAATCTTCCAAATCGACAAATGGAAGATATTCAGATCATCCAGAATATGAATATGAAAATGGAAATGAACAAGATGGATACAACTGCCAAAGCAGCAGTGAAAGCCAAAGCGACCTCGAAAACCAAGCACTCGCACAATCCGAACCCCGTCCTATTGACGATGAATATAACGATAACGACGAAAATCAAGCTGCAGCAGACCGACCCCGCCATGCATGGCAGATCCTCTGGCTCCGAAATAAAGGCATGGCCCTCGTATTACTAGCGCAGATGTTTGGCGCTTCGATGAATGTCATGACGCAGATTTTGGAGATTCATAGTGCTATGCACCCATTCCAGGTATATACCTTCCCCAGATACAATACAAACATACATGTGTGTATGTACTAAGTTAACCAATGAATAGGTCCTCTTCGCCAGAATGTCAATAACAGCCCTAGCAAGCTACATCTACATGTACTACGCCTCAGTCCCAAACCCAATAGGAACACGGCCCGTACGGCCCCTCCTCCTCCTCCGCGCAGCAAGCGGCTTCATGGGCGTCTACGGACTCTACTATTCAGTCCAGTACCTGCCCCTCTCCGAAGCAACGGTGATCACCTTCCTCGCGCCAATTATGACCTGCTACGCTTGTTCATTGCTTATCCCCGGCGAGACATTCTCGCGTCGGCAGCAGTTTGCGGCGCTCGTTTCGCTGGGCGGGGTTGTGCTTATTGCTAGGCCCTTTGGGAAGCGGGAGAAGGTTGATTCGGTGACTACTGCTGTGTCGGTTTGGGCTATGGGTCTTTCTGCTTCGAATGGGGGTGGGGAGGAGACGCCTGATGATGCTGACGCTTATCATCATGTTCTGGCGACGGTTGTTGCGTTTGTCGGTGTTATTGGGGCTGCGGGTGCTTATACTTCTATTCGGATGATTGGGAAGCGTGCGCATCCGCTTGTCTCTGTGACGTATTTTTCGACGGTTACTACTGTTGTTTCGTTCTTGGCTATGGCGTTTGTGCCGGCTGTGCCATTTCGATTGCCGAGTACTGTTGTTGAGTGGTCCTTGTTGACCGGATTGGGGGTCTGCGGGTTCTTGCTGCAGTTCTTGTTGACGGCGGGTTTGTCGTATGTTCCTCCGGCTTCGGTTTCTGGGGGGAAGGTTGTTGGCCAGGGGTCTAAGGCTACGTCGATGGTTTATATGCAGATGCTGTTTGCGCTGTTTTATGATAAGGTTGTTTGGGGGGTTACGCTGTCTGGGGTTAGTTTGATTGGATCGGGGTTGATTTTGATTTGTGCGGTTTATGTTGCTGTTGAGGGAGGGAAGCAGACGCAGACACAGACACAGACACAGAGGCAGACGCAGACTCGGGATGAGAGTCGGGGTGGGAATGAGGAATATCGGGATGTTGAGGGGTACAAAAACGCCACTGAAAGGGAGGCGCAGGAGTAAGTGCATTGAGTTTGAGGCTTGCAGATATAGCACAGACATACAGTATACAATAAGTTAGAAGAGACACGGAGTACTCTGCTCCAGTGGCCAATAAGCCAATCCAAAAAGACGAATGCATCAACAATGCATCAACTCCGTCATAGGGTTACATGTCACCCCGGGAACTCCCGTTGAAAGACTTCAGTGGAGTCTTCATACTGAAGTAGTCTACTATAGCGGATCATAAAAGCCCAATCCCCATATTTTCCCCATATCTGCATACTCTATTCTCTCCCACATTCTCTAGTCACCTTCTTTAGACCTCTAGACCTCCACCTCACATCCACACCTCTACATTTACTTAAATCCATTCAATCATTCATACATTCATACATTCAATCATTCAATCATTCAATCATTCAATCACCCTTCAATGCGCCATTTTGACACCTGGGTCCTCCGCGACCCCTACTCAATCTGGCACTACTATCCAACAGGTCACAGATGGCGCGACACAGTCCGCGACCTAATCCACACACGAGCAATCTGCTCTCCAGAAGACATAAACAGAAAAGAAATCCCAGCTCCAATTGACCCCTGGGCCAAACAAACCAACCAAGAATCGCCACTCCTCCGTCTCCCGGCCGAAATCAGACTCATGATTTGGTCGTACGTCCTCACAGACTCAGATGCGCCAGAAAGCAATCCACAAACTGTCCATCTTGTCCAGATCAAGGGGAAGATTCGGCATGTGAGGTGTTCCTTATCCAACAAGACTACAACTACACATACATCTACATCAACGTCCACACCACTCCAACATCAGAACAAAACCCTCCAAACCCGCTCCTGTTGCCCAACAACCCCAGCCCACTGGCGCCACACACCCTCCCTTCCAACCTCACCACCGACAAACCCCCAGAAAACCCGCCTCCTCTACCCACACACCCACCCGCACCTCCCCCAAACCCTAACAACCCTAACCCCAACCCTCCTACGCACCTGTCGAAAAATCTACCAAGAAGCCGAAACAATCCTATACAAAAACACAATCTTTGACGTAGACGATCTCTACACCTTCATCGCATTCGCGAACTCCCTCTCGCCAACTGCCCGCAATGCCATCTCCACGCTGAATGTCCAGTGGATGCCTATCTGGACGCCTATGGCGGGCTTGGATCATAAGGGGAGTATTTATGCTCATACGCATAGTGATGAGCTTTGGAGTAGGTTTTGGGAGGTTGCTGCTTCTTTGAGGGGATTAAAAGGGTTGGGGCTTGCGTTGGATTTGGGGGTTGTTTCTGCTAGGGATGTTGGGGTTGATATTGGACATGGATATGGGCAGCGGATTCCGTTTGGGATTGCTGAGGGGTGGGTTAGGCCTTTGCTCAAGGTGCGTGGGTTGCGGGAGTTTGATCTGGCTGTTTCGGCTCGGTGTGATGCTTCTTCTAGGGGTGTTGTTGAGGGGAGGTTGGTTAGGGATGTTGGCCTTCTTAGGGGGGAGTTGAAGCGGGTTTTGTGTTTGCCCCGGGAGAGGGAGAGGGAGAGGGCTTGTAAGAAGGGGATGATGGGGAGGAGGGTGAGATTGGCTATTACAGCTGATTAGGTTGTTTTATACCCCCTGTTTATTTTTTATACAGCTATACAGTATCTAGATCAGCATCTATGGAGTTCTATCATTTGAGCATGACGTATGTGGCATTCAATTAACCGAGTAAACACTCGGAACATGTGCCAATTCCAATATTAATCTATGTCCAGACCATTTCCTGTAACAGACGTGTTCCTCCAGCTTTTATGAACATAGAACAAATGGCACATTGATATAGACCACCAACCGAGCCAATGACAAGACCAGCCGAAACAAAAGAGAAACGAAACATTTCATTGGAAGAGTATTAGGGGAGCAAGTTGCCGAAAGAGCCAAAGAGTACCTCTCAGGCAGACCACATCAAGTAAACACAGGTAAATCAACAGGACAGAACAGGACTTGGAATGTTGCACAGAACAGTCAGTGGCTATTACAGCCCCGGCAGCAGGAGACGCCATGCGCCGCACATAGGAAAAACCGCCAGTTACGGCACAATTTGTAAAGTATAAAACACGAACCGAATGCAAAATGAGTAAGATATCTGTTAGATATCTAATGCAAAGGGTGGAGAGTGAAGTCAAGATGGGATGGACTTGTACTCTACTGAGTGGAGACGTGACCAGTGCGACCACGCACCTCCTCCTCGTAGCCATTGGCATGCTCAGACTCAGCCTCCTCATCTGTGGGCGAGTTCAATCCACTAGGCTCATGCAGTGACTGCCGGCTGCGTGCCATCCAAGCGCGCACACCTCCAATCAAACCCAGGCTGTAACCGGTAGCAAAGTCCTCGTTCCGGCGAGAGCCCATGGGGCTGTCAGGCCGGGTGGGCACTTCGCCGACCCGCGACAAGTGTGACTTGCTGCCGCCGGTAGGGCTGGCGAGGGGTCCACGGCTGCCGGTCCAGTCCATGCTGTTGCGGGCGCTGGGGGCGGGGCTGCCGGGTCGGCTGTTCTGCCAAATCTGGCGCAGTTCGCGGCCGAGTTCTTGACCGGTCATGGTCCAGTTGTTGCGAATGTTGTCGCGGAGTTCGACGACGTGACGCTTGATTTCGAGCTCGTTCTTCTTGAGCCAAGAGACATTCAATTCTTGGCGAGAGGCTCCGCGCTTAAATTGCCGTGAGATGTACTGGTCGTAGTCGCGAACGACTCTGTTATAATGTTAGCATTGTACTTCATCACCGACATCAATTAACTGACCTTGTGATGATACCAGTGGTACTGACACCCTCCGTCCGTTGCGTCACCAGGAACTTGCCCTGCTCCTTGATAGGAGCATAGATGTCATCACCCTCAGCAGCCCCATAAGGCAGATCATCGTGAGCAACATAGTCAATCTTGTGCTCTGACAAGAACTCCGGAGTAACAACCCACGGACAGCAGGGAATAACCTCGTCCACCCACTTGCAGTGACGAATAGTCTCAGCGCGCTCGGCACCACTAAGAACCGTCAATCCCTTCCGCAGATGTGTCTCTTCATCGCCAGTAACACCAACAATCAGATACGTATCAGGGAAAGCCTTCTTAGCCTGCTCCAGCTGTCTCATGTGACTATAAGCAAGTTGTCAGCACACATCCACATCCACATCCGAGTAAACCAGCCCTTCCCCATCTCAATGGTCCGGTGAAACATACCCAAGATGGAACAAATCAAAAACACCATCCGCATAAACCCGCACCGCCCGACCCGTCGGCGGCGGGTTAGTGTGATACCCAACAGGATCCTGCAACCCGAACACGGGCGGCGCCATCTGTGCCTCGACCTTTTCCTCCTCCGGCAAATCAATATGTAAGCCCGGCCGCGCCGAGCGGGCATGTGATCCCTCGATATCGCTACTGGCAACCGTTGTCTCGGATGGCTCGCCGGGGTCTTCTTGGCCGCTACCGTTCGGGGCGGAGTGCGATGCATCACCGGAGGCCTTGCGGGCGCGTTTGGAGGGAGGCACCGTCTCGCTCACGCCTTGCTTCTTGGTTTTGGGGGCATTGGCGTTGGCATTGGAGGCGGCTGAGTCTTCGCCTTCTTCGCCGGACGCGTCGCGTGAAGAGGGTTGGAGGTCTGTTGGCTTGGGGCCTGGGGTCGGGAGATGCGAGGCGCTGCGCTTGCGCTTGCCAACTGGGGATGTTGATGACATTTTGGAGTGATTGATAGAGGCGGGAAAAGAGGAAGACGGGACCAGGGGAAGAGACCCTGAATGACGACCCGGTTTTAGGGGGTAATTTTCTGTTTGGGGAAGAGAGTGGGGGCTGCAATTCCGCTGTCACCCTGATTTATTACGTGACGCTGTTGAGTCTTGGCGTTTTGCCTAGATGACCACGTGTGGTCATGCCGTTTATGTATACGAACTAACTTATATGGGGCCGTATACGGAGTATACGAAGTAGATATTAGTCTGTGGTCTGATCTAGTCTCACTTTGTGGACCAAGGGTACCGTATATCAAATACGTCATGGATATGGCTGAATCTTGTCTTGATCTTGAACAACTTGAACGCTCAATCTACCAAGCCTCTTGACACCAGACCGAGGTATAAAGGTTTAGGGTGAAACGGATGAAGTAAAAGGCTCCTCAATATCGGGCATTTTCTGCGGTATCTCGTGTGGTGATGGCATAAAGAAACAAACGTGTTCATGAGGGTCGGTCTGTCCCCCTCTCACCCCTTCTCACATCGCATTCATTCCACATGGCACATGATGGCCTCCCGTAATGCTCCTCACTTTGACAATTCTGGAACAGTTGAACAGTTAGGGGAGGAAGGTAGAATCAGGCTCGGAACCAGAGCCCGGACATAACTAAGCGCAAACAGAAAGAGAACATAGGGCATAGATCGTGAAATGATCGTAGAATCAGGGGAACGGGTCGTTGGCAAACAGAAACCAAAAAGGAAAAGAAGGAAGAACAGAAAAGAATGGAACAACACCAGAACCGATACCACTCAGGAAGATGCGGACTTGTCCTTTTCAGCGTCAGTGGAGGCCGGGGACTCGGATATTTGAGCAGTCCCCTCCTGTTTCGACTGGGGGCCCGGGGTAGCCTCGCGGTCGTTCCGGGTGCTTGGTTCGTGCTGCACCTGATTGGGAAGGTCCTGGTCTTCTTCCGTCTGGTCAAAAAGCTCTTCATTCTGGTCCGGGATCACCTCGGTGCCATCGCCCAAGAGGATGATGCGGCCGGAGCGCACACTGAAGCCACGGGACCGCTCCATCTCCACGTCATATTCATCCGGGGTTTCCTCGAACTGGTTCCGGATCCCAGGGCCGCGGAACTCGGCTGCACAACTGGCCGTCAGCACGAAGTGATATTGCCTTCGGGTTCCTCGGGAGACTTGCCGTACTCGGGCGGAGCACAAGGACCGTCCCCGTTCGCGACCCGCTCTGCGATCTGGTTGTACCATTCCTCCTTGGTCTTGCCATGGAGCAGACCAATGATGGTCATGGTC